CTAAGTGTCAGGCCAACAAGTCTTACTGGACATCTCTTCCTGAGACATTTCTCCAATCCTAGAGACATTTCACATGCATCATGACCACTGAACATCTCATCTTCCCCTGAAACCAGCCCCCCTCACCATATTCCTGATCTTGATTAACGGTGTTGCCATCCAATTGGACTCCCAAGCTAGAAACCTTGGTGCTATTCTTGGCTTCTCCCTCTCTTTCACAATCCACATCTGACCAGTCTAGTCCATTCTGCATAGTTCTCAAATCTATGCCCCAGTGCCTCACCCCCACTGCCACTGCCTTGGCTCAGGCCCTTATCTTTCTCACCTAGGCAACTGCAGTACCTTCCTCACTGATCTATTCGCTGACAATCTCAGCCCTTGCAACCCATCTGCCACACTGCTTCTAGAATTAGCTTCCTAAAACAGTCCAAATCATGTCCCTCACTGTTCTAAAACTTCCCAGCTTAAAATTCTTTACCAAATTCTAAGTGTTCCCTTATTCCTCAGCAGAGCTCCTAGAGTGACTGTGCTCTTTATTGATGATACTTAATATTTTTCAATCTTATGGTTAATTGTGGCATACACACAAAGTTCTTGTCATTTTTCCATACCACCTCCCTAATATCTACAAGATAAAAATCAAATCCTAATTGCTTCACTGGTCACTCAAAGCCTTCACCTAATGGTCTCAGTCTCTTTTCAGCCTCATCTCTGGCTAAAGTCCTCCTATAGTCTAGCTACAATCTTTGCTTCAGTGACTTATAACTTGTCACCTATTTCCAGAATGTGCCAAGGTCTTCTAAAGCTTCAAGCTTTATAAAGAAACTGGTATTCTGGGGAAAGTAATTTAGTGAGAGTATGCAAGCAATTTACTATACAGGAAAAACAAAAGGGAAAAGAAAGAGGACAAAGACAAGGGATGATGCTACCATAGTAATCTTGGGATGAGACAATAAGGACCCTACCCTCTGATCTGCCTCCTCCAAAACTGGTTTTTCTGCTCCCCTTGGCAGCGGAGTCACTGGTTCTTTCATACAGGCTCTTGTCCATCTTCTTGCATCCTCCTTTACCTGGTGGTCTTGAAATCCTATAGTGCCTCAGGACTTGGGTCTAGGCTCCCTTCTTTTCCCAGTACTCTCTCTCCCCTAGTGACCTTATCTAGTCTCAAGGGCTTTAAATACCTATTATGTGCACATGACTCCTGCTATACTGTCTCAGCCTTGATTTCTCTCCAGAATTCCTGATTCTGACTGCCTCATTGACATCTTCATGTGATATCTAAAAGGAGCCTAGCCAAATCTGATGGTCACACCACTTTTTGCTTTCCTAGCCTCAGCAGCATTAGACACAGCACATCAGGCCAATCTTCCAGAAGCACATTCTTCTTGTATTTTTCTTTCTAACTCACAGTTGACATCTCCTCAGTCTCCCATGCTGGCTCCTTTTTCTCTAACTGACCCCTAAATAGTGACATGCTCCAGGGTCTAAGGCTAGGCCCTTCTACCTCTCTTGCTAATGCCTCCCAAGTTTATAGCTCTAGCCCAGCTCTCTCCCTCATATTCTCACTTGGACATCTCAAACTTAACATTTCTAAAATAGAACTCTTGATTTCCTCTCCCCACCCCCCCCAATCCGACCCTCTCTTAGTCTTCTTCATTTCCGGAAATGGTATTCAAGTGCTCAAATCCAAACCCTAGAAATTATCCTTGTTTTTTCCCCTTTTCCCTCAGGGTCCATATCTAATCCTTCAGGAAGTTGTACCAAATTGTCCTCTAAACCATCACCTACATCTATCCCTCCTCTCCATCTCTACTACCACCACCCTAATCTTTTTCTTTTTTTGAGACAGAGTCTTGCTCTGTTGCCCAGGCTAGAGTGCTGTGGCGTCAGCCTAGCCCACAGCAACCTCAAACTCCTGGGCTCATGCGATCCTTTTGCCTCAGCCTCCCGAGTAGCTGGGACTACAGGCACATGCCATCATGCCCAGTTAATTTTTCTGTTTTTAGTAGAGAAGGGGGAGCGGTGCGGGTGTCTCACTCTTGCTCAGGCTGATCTCAAACTCTTGACTTCAAGCGATCCTCCCGTCTTGGCCTCCCAGAGTGCTAGGATTACAGGTGTGAGCCACTGTGCCTGGCCCTACCACTCTAATCTAAACCATCACCATCTCTAGCCTGAATAAATCAATAGCTTCCAAACTGGTCTCTATGAGTGCCCATTCTCACCCCTCTCCTATCCAATCTTTGCACAAGAGGTGCTTACCATGTGCTAAGAAGTGTTCTAAAGGTATCATATTAACTCATTACATTCTCACAGTAGCCTGTAAGGTAGGTTCTATGTTTACTCCAAATTTACAATGGAGAAACTAAGGCACAGACAAAGGTTAAGCTCCTTGCTCCCAAATCACAGAACTATACATCATATCATGCTACGACCCTATTTGAAACTATCCAGTTTCACTAGAATTTAAATTCCTTTTCGCGATTAAGGCCCTATGTAATCTAATCTCTACTCACCATTCCAATTTAATTTCTCCCACTTTTACTACATTCTAGCCAGTATAATCATCTTTTTTTCTTTTTTTTTGAGACAGGATTTCGCTCTGTCACCCGGGATAGAGTGCAGTGGTGTCATCACAGCTCACTGCAACCTCAAACTGCTAGGATCAAGCAATCCTCCTGCCTTAGCCTCCCACAGTGCTAGGATTACAGACATGAGACACCATGCCCGGCCCATGATCTTCCATATGTTGCTTGAACAGGGCCTTTTCTGCCTTGAGGCTTTGCACTTACTATTCCCTCTGCCCAGAATATATCCTGCCTCAGCTCATAACCCACTCATTCTCATCCTTCAGGTCTCAGTTCAAAACTCATTTCCTCAGAGAAGCTCTCCCAGGCCTTCCTATCTATAGTGGCCTTCATTAATCACTCTTATTCCATTGTCCTATTTATTTTCTCCCCAGCACTTACACTGATCTTTATCTTGTTTTTGTGTTTACTATCTGTCTCTACCACCAGCATATAAACTCCAGAAGGACAGGAACCTTACAGGTCTTGTACCTCCAGTGTTTAACATAATGTACTCCGCACACTGTGCTTAGGAAACCTTTAATAAATAAATGTGTTTGCCACTGCCTCTACAGGTGAGGCCTTTCTTCTATTCTCCACATGCTGAACTCCTACTCATACTTCCATACTCAGCCCACAGATCACTCCTTCTGGGAAACTGTGGTTTTCTGAAATCCCATAGCACTTTATACAGTCCTCTACCTATCTAGCCTGATACCTTTTTAACGTTTGGGTGCCTCTTTCAGCCACTTCACCTCCAGGGGCTAGATATCTTTCTACCCTCGCCGTGTTGAGCCCTGTGTCAGGCACACAGGAGGTGCTTTAACCACGTTTGTTGAAAGCATTGACCCAAGATAAGAGTCTAGTTACCAAATGTTCTCCACTGACCACTGTCCCTTCCCATTTAGAACTATCCAGCCCTCAAATGGAACCATGTATGCTGGCTAGAACCCGATCTCTCTGGACCAACGTTTCCCTGGCCGCAGCCTCACCTGCCAATGACGTCCTTAGGGTCGTACTTCTGGTAAAACTCCTTGGCTGCGGCCCAGTCGGGCAGCTCATCCTCTGGCCCCACGTCCAGCGTCATTCTGAAGGAAGTGGGGGCCTGTGCGGAGGCAACAGAGGGCAGTGAGGGTAGAGAGGCCCACAGGCTCTGAGACGATGCACATCGCGGCTCCCGGAGGCGCAGCCCTTGCGGCTGGGGCGCCAGGATCCTGGGGGATAGGGGCGGGTAGGGGAAGGATTGGGACTGGGAAGACCCTGCAGAAGGGCCTAGGAGACCGGAGGGGTTGCGGGGAAGGGGGGGGGGCGGGGGAAGGGAAGGAAAAAGGTGCCCAGGAAGAGGGAGGAACGGGAACAAGGGTAGGCGGCTGTTGCCGCGCAGGCGCACTTGGGCGGGCGCTGGGAAAGGACGGTGGTCTCGCGCAGGCTCACCTGCGGTGGCAGGCGAGAGGCCGGGGTCCACGCGAGGCAGCTGTGTTATGGGGTTAGCCTTATCTTCCCATACCTTACCCCCGGCGGCGCCGGCCACGACCTAAGGCTCCGCCTCCATCCTGTCCGCCAATGGCCAGCGCCGCACTGAGACTGAGGTTCCAAAGCCCTTCCGATTGGAAACTGTCAGCCCAATAGGAAGCCGTGAGTCCTGGGGCTAGAGCGGGCGTTGGGGCTCAAAGTTATCTAAGGCCGCAACGCCAGGACAGGGCTTCAAGTACGGCCAATCAGCGCGTGGCATCTGCTGGGGGACGCAGAGGGCGGAGCTTGTTGTCAAGTGGGCTGGAGGCCTGCAATGGGACCCGGAAGTTAGATTTACCCGGAAGCGTGACCTCAGGGCAGCCAGGATGGAAGACCTTATAGCGCCTGCAGTTCCTGGACTTGGGCAGGCCCCCTCAGTCTCTTACCAGGATTCCCTATCTGAATTCACCTCTTTTTTATATTAGCAGCCTGGGGCAAAGTATCTGCCTTGAGGGGCAGACTCTATCCCCGAAAATGCTTGGGCTCATGCAGCTTGGACCCCACTTCCGCCACTTGATGGGACTTAAATGGCCAGAAGAGACCTGTCTAGTGGCGGCTCCAAATCCTCTTGAATACCTCCAAAGCTCTAGTGCTTACCACCTGGGATTATACACTTTCCCAGTCTTCCACTCTCTCCCAAAAGCCTTGGGGGTGTTTCACGATCTGTTCTAAATCCGCCTAGGAGCAACTTCGTAAGCCTTCTGGGGCATAGCTCATACCTGGCATTCACTGACTCATTCAAAAATATTTGTTGAACATCTAAGACCTAGGTGCTAAACTAACAGCAACTGAATAAACAGCATACTCTTGTGGAGGTTATGTTCCAGCAAAACAGGAACAATAAATTAATCTTCCAACAGCTATCTTAGATATGACACTTTGGGATCACAACCATATAAGGGGAGAAAAATGAATCCAAGTAACTATTTTAACAAAAGTTTATTCTTAAATGTACAATAGGCTCCAAGACACTTCATTTTAGCTATAGGTGGCAAAAGATGTTATGGTGGGGAATACTGATGTTTAAATAGGAATCAAGGGGCACCATCGCCTAACGCACAAGGAACAGCTTACTTTTTACCAGATTTCTTAATTCCACCGGTAGCCAGGGGGCCTTTCCCCGCAGCCTTCGCTTTTAGCTCCTCGAGTTTCTTCTGCTCTTTTTGTTTCTGCTTGAATGCCTTATCTTCCTCGTCCATCTCCTTGGCCTGCTTCTTGGGCTGTTTCAGGGGCTTTTTCTTGCCACCTTCGCCGCCGGACATGGTGCCGCAGCTCCTTCCACAGACCCTGCCACCAGAAAAGGAGCTTCTGGCCCACCCCCTACTCCTATACCACTCCAAGTAACTTTAATGGAGTGCTTTCACTTTATATCATCAAAGACAAAAGAACTGTAAAGCAATCTTAAACTTTACTTAGTAGGTTTGTTATTTGGTAGGATATATTGTCAGGAGCCAAGGTTCTTAGTGTGGGATATGGAATCTGGAATGGGGGAAGGTGATGAAGAATTCTATGATTGAAATTGAAGGAATGATTAAAAATAGATTTAAAATAGATAAAATTAGGTATTATCTAGCTCTGACCTCTGCAAGGGCCCAGAAGCAATAACCCAATAGAATGAGTACATCTAGTGTCTACATACTGATTTCTAAATAACAGTCTCAATTAAAAGTAATGTAGGGATAAAGCAGAAAAGAAAGGTGGAGAGCTCCTGAGTGCAGCCATTTTGACCCATACCAGACCCTAACCACCCTGAATAGGGAAGTAGTGAGCAGGTTGTCAGCCCAGGACCACCTGAGGATGGATGAATTACTAAGCCAGATGCCTTACAGTTTGTACTTACCTTTCTGTGATAGCAATTTATGATTAACCTTTATGGCCTGAACTTAGACAATGATGGTCACATACAACTATTCCTTAACAGGGTTTCTGAACACATAAAAACATTACCATTGCCCCATAAGTGGTCCCCCTCCTACTCAGGAGAGGACCCCTACCCTGTCTGTGGAGTAGGATCTATTGACTATCTCTGTCTCAATAAACTTTCTGTGCTAGTTGGCTCACTGTCTAATTCATTCCTACGTGAAGCCAGGAACTCACTTGGCAAGTCCAGGGGGCTTTCCTCCCTTTATCGGGGAACGCCCTGCATCAAAAGGAACCACAGCACCTTGCAAGAAATGGCCAATTTTGAGGCTTCAGTAGGGAAAGTATAAAATGAATCTAGAGCAATTTGTGCCAAAAAGTAAAGAATGATGGGGGACTTATCAAAAGGACACAGGAGGCCGGACAAGATGGCTCATGGGAGGCTGAGGCGGGAGGATCGCTTGAGCTCAGGAGTTTGAGACCAGCATGAGCAAAGAGGGAGACCACTCCCCCATCTCTACAAAAAATTTTAAAAATTAGCCAGGCATGGTGGTGCCTACCTGTAGTCCCAGCTACTCGGGAGGCTGAGGCAGGAGGATTGGTTGAGCCCAGGAGTTCAAGGTTGCAGTGTGTTATGATGATGCCACTGCACTCTACGCAGGGTGACAGAGTGAGACTCTCTGTCTTTAAAAAATAAAAATAAAAAAAGACACAGGAACTGAGTTTCCACTGGTCAAAATCACGGACAAAAATAACAAGAGGAGGGAGCCTTCTGATGTGCTGCAAATATTCTATTCACCTAGATGGTGATTACTCTGGTATTTTTACATAAAAATAGTCATCAAGCTGTACATTTAAGATCTGTGTGTTTTACTGTATGTAAATTATACCTCGACAAAACACTTTAAGGATAATGACAGTAATGGATATAATTGAACAGTCTGAGACCAAACTGACGCTAAAAATTTTAAGTAAATGAAGGAGAAAAAGACCTTTATAGTAGGATGCTAACTTAAAAACGTATAAAGTATGGTAGGTAGAGCATCAACATTTGCAAGCCTCACAGTAATAAGTGATTTGGGCAAAATTAATAGGCATTAAAATTTGCTCAGGAGCAGGATTTTTATAGATTACTTTTTTTTTTTTTTTTTTAGAGACAGAGTCTTGCTTTGTTGCCCAGGCTAGAGTGAGTGCCATGGCGTCAGCCTAGCTCACAGCAACCTCAAACTCCTGGGCTCAAGCAATCCTCCTGCCTCAGCCTCCCGAGTAGCTGGGATTACAGGCATGTTCCACCATGCCTGGCTAATCTTTTCTATATATTTTTAGTTGACCAGCTAATTTCTTTCTATTTTTAGTTGAGATGGGGTCTCGCTCTTGCTCAGGCTGGTCTCAAACTCCTGAGCTCAAATGATCCGCCTGCCTGGGCCTCCCAGACTGCTAGGATTACAGGTGTGAGCCACCACAGCGGGCCAGATTACCTTTTAATTAAAAAGAAAAACAAAAAATCTTTAACTTGCAGAAATATGACAGAAACTACCTTAACCAAGTTGTCAATGCTAACATTACCAATAAGAGGATAAAACATCATATGCATCCTGATGGATGGTGACTGAAGATATACAACTTACGTAGTATTTCTGCCAAAAAAAAAAAATACATAACCTGAATCTAATCATAAGAACCTAAATTGAGGGATATCCTATTTGTTTTTATTTTTTAATTTTTATTTTGTTTTAGAGACAGAGTCTCTGTCACCCAGGCTAGAGTACAATGGTGTGATCATATTTCATTATAATCTTGAACTCCAGGGCTAAAGCCATACTCCCGAAGTGCTGAGATTATAGCATGAGCCATCGTGCCCAAGCTAAATTGAGGGATATTCTAAAAACAACTGGCCTTGCTTCAGAAATGTCAATAAAAGTCAGGCACAGCTACTTGTACTTGTAGCCCCAGCTACTTGGGAGACTGAGGTAGGAGGAATGCTTGAGGCCAGGAGCTCCAGGCCTCAGTGTGCTAAGACTGTACCACTGGCACTCCACTCTGGGCAACATAGCAAGATCCATCTCTAAAATAAATAAATGAAATTCTTTAAAAAAATTTTTAAATGTCATAAAATAAAAAATGAGGAACTACTCAAAATTTAAGAAGACTAAAGAGACATGAAAACTAAATACAATGCATGTTAGTTACCAGACCCTAAAACAGAGAAGAAATTCTATAAAGGATGTTATTGGGATAACTGGCAAATTTGAATATGGACTATATATCAGAAAATATTGTATCAATGCTAACTTCTCTAAATTACATAATTGTATTGTAGTTACATGAGCAAATGTAGTTGTTTTTAGTAAATCATCAAATTAGAAATTATTTAGGGATGAAGAGGCTGCAAATTACTCCTAAATGGTTCAGCAATAAAGCAAATGTGGTGAAATGTTAAAAATTATAAATCTTGTAAAGAATATACATGAGTTTACTGTACTACTGTTTTATCATTTTCAAATGCTTTCAAAATAAAGAGTTAAAAAAACAGCAAGAGGCCAGGTGTGGTGGCTCACACCTGTAATCCCAGCACTTTGGGAGGACAAGGCAGGAGGATTGCTTGAGTCCAGGAGTTTGAGACCAGCCTGGGCAACATAGTGATACCTCGTTTCTACAAACAACAACAACAAAATTAGCTGGGTATGGTGGTGTGCACCTGTAGTCTTAGCTACTCAGCAGGCTGAGGCAGGAGGATCAGGTAGAACCCACAATTTTGCAGCTGTAGTGCACTATGATCACATCACTGTACTCTAGCCTGAGCAACAGAATGAGACCCCATCTCAAAACAAAACAAACCCCAAGAACTCATTTAATGGAGTTTGGGGGAATGGGATACTCTCTTCTAGTAAACTCAAGGTGCTCATTAATCAAACTCATAAAAAGTTTCCATAAACATCTTTCTAAAATGTATTACCCTTCTTTCATGATTTAGGAATTAGTAGAGTGAATCCAATAAAATCATATCTAAGGAACAGTTAAGCTATGTGCATTAGAATCAATTGAAAATTTTTGAGAAATACTGATGCGCAGGCAGCACCTTACACCAATTAAATCAGAATCTCTAGGAAGTAAAGCGCAGGCATAACTTTTTTTTTTTTTTTAAAGAGACAGGGTCTCGCTTTTGTCACTCAGACTGGAGTTCAATGGCTTGATCACAGCTCACTGCAACCTGTAACTCCCAGGCTCAAGTGATTGTTAGCCTTTCAAGTAGCTAGGACTACAGGTATGTGCCACTACACTCAGCTAATTTTTTTTTTTTGTGGAGATGGGGTCTTGCTATGTTGCCCAGGATTATGGGCGTGAGTCACCATGCCCAGCCCATGACACTTTGTAAGGCTCCCCTGTTGATTCCATTGTGAAGCCAAGGTCAAGAACACTGCCCTGTATATGGCTTCTAGAGAACCATCAATGGACTCTCTTCACTTTTCCTTCTTAGAGCACTTTGGAACCCCTCTAATCTCTCTTCAGTGTGCAACATCTCTAGTTCCTTTTGGTGCTGTGCAGGGCTCTGAATTATGGTGAGATGAACCAAAAATCCCATTTCCAGGGCACATGTATTTCAAGAGGAATGTACAAGAATATCCATTGCAGTATGATTCATAATATCCCCAAACTGGAAAATATCCCAAAGACCACTAACAGAAAATGGATAAAGTATGATATAGTCATAACAGAATACTATACAGCAGTGAAAACTACAGCTATACTAAATATTTATAAATTTCAATGTTAAGAAGCTAGGCATAGAAAGAATACTTGATACTTGGTTTTGTTATATAAAGTTCAAATACAGGGCCGGGCGTGGTGGCTCATGCCTGTAATCCTAGCACTCCGGGAGGCGGAGGCGGGTGGATTGCTCAAGGTCAGGAGTTCGAAACCAGCCTGAGCAAGAGCAAGACCCCGTCTCTACTATAAATAGAAAGAAACTAATTGGCCAACTAATATATATACAAAAAATTAGCCGACCATGGTGGTGCATGCCTGTAGTCCCAGCTATTCGGGAGGCTGAGGCAGGATTGCTTGAGCCCAGGAGCTTGAGGTTGCTGTGAGCTAGGCTGATGCCACGGCACTCACTCTAGCCTGGGCAACAAAGCAAGACTCTGTCTCAAAAAAAAAAAAAAAGTTCAAATACAGACAAAATTAAAGTACATTGTTAGAAGTAGAGAATGGTAGTTGCCTATAGGATGAAATGAAGCAGTGATTGGGAGGGTTATGAAAGAGGCTTGGAGTGATGGCAATGTTCAATTTCTTGATTGAATGGTGATTATTCAGATGTTCGCTTTGTGTTAATTTATTGAAATATATACTTGTTTTAGGTACCTTCCTGTGTATGTTATACTTCACAATTTTTAAAAATGTTTAAATGTTATGAGGCCCAAGATAAAGAACATGAAAATTCATTATAATCATACAAATCTCCACATACGGGTCGGTTGTTGCTGTTATCTAACTCTTTCACTCCTCCTCTCGGTTGGCTCTGGAACCAAACTGTTTAAGTTCAATCCCAGTTCTGCCATTTACTAGCTGAGTAAACTTGGGCAAATCTGGCACTGTTTCCTCAACTATAAATGAGAACAATGGTCTCTACTATTGAATGATTGTGAAGACTAAAGGAAGTCGAGAAATATAAAGTGCTTAGAAGAGCCTGGAATATAGTAAGTACTCAATAAATAGTAGCTACTGCTACTATTCTTCATCTCAGGCCTCCAGGTCTCTGTTGATGTATAAGGGAGGAGCTGGAGTCCTTCCAAGAAAGGAAACTTCCAGAAGAAGAAAACTAATAAAATCATTTCCTTCTCTTGAAGCTCCTACTATGTTTCCCCAAAAATAAGACAGGGTCTTATATTTATTTTTCCTCAAGAAGACACCCTAGGGCTTATTTTCAGGGGATGTGTTATTTTTTTTAAGTACGGTACAACAATCCACATTTATTCAAATATAGTTAAGTTGTCTTCTTCTGGAACACCATCATAACTCTCCAAACCCTGAATTCCATCCTGAATTTCTTGTGACTCTATTTCCTTTAGAACCATTGGCCGGTGGGTACCTGACGGGGAGCCGACCTTGTTAGTGGGGCTGCCCACGCCTTTCCAGTCACCTCTGGGATAGATATCACGATGGGGAAGATGAGAGGGGCTGCTTGTCTTCTTTACCGCTCCTTCCGCGACGAAATGCGTGGGTTGTGCATATACGCTGAGTAGCCACGCCCATCACTAGGTCTTATTTTCAGGGTAGGACTTATATTGCACAAATGCTTAGAAATCCTGCAAGGGCTTATTTTATGGGTAGGTCTTATTTTCGAGGAAACACGGTAGGTGAGGTGAAATGCAGGCTTCTGCCATCAGTCAGATTGTCCAGTCTAGCTCTCACCAAGGGCCCAAGGGAAAGCAGGGGAAGAACAATAAGACAGGAGCATTTCACCACTAAAAAAGCCTTTTATTACAAAACAAATTCTAATAGAATTAGACCTGGTCCTCCACCCTTCCTTGGGGTGGAGGCCCCTAGGATGGGGTGGGGTGGGGTGGGATGGGGGAGATGGGGATAGCGGGCACGGAAAGAACAGATCAGGCTGACCTCCCTCATCAGTCTCAGCTGCTGCTCTCCTTTTATAAAGGGCTAGAAGAGCTCTTCCACAGCCCCGTGAGAGAGACCCCATCCTTCCAGCCAGGGAGGACCACTACTGTCACTGGACCTTAGCAATGCCACATTGCAGGATCCAGGAGGTCTCGGTTGGCTCTCAGCAGGACCACCCAGGGTCACTCAGCTTGAGCGATGGCGTAGGAAAGAAGCCACAGCAGTATGGGCCCCAGAATGAGGACAGCAAACCAGACAGCAAAGCTGGCAAGGATGAGCCTCCGGGCCCGGGCCCCCCAGTGCACTGCCTCCTCGGACCGGCCTGCCTTAAGTCGCTCTTCCGCCTGTAGGGGCAGGTTCTTAGTTAGGTTCTCTCCCTGCTTCTGCCCCAAAGTGCCCATTGTCCCACTTTACTCCCCTATCCCTGTCACAGCTCAAAATCTCACACTCAAACCCTCCACCTCCGTTTCCAGTTTATGTCTGTCACCCCTCATCTGCAAAGTGAGGTACCCGTCTCTGTCCTATTTTTCAGTGTGGCCATAAGTAACTTACAAGATCACAATGGGAAACTACTTTCTAATTCTTTCATTCCCCATTCTTTCCTACACATCCCATGTCAAATCAGTGAGCCTGGAGTATTTCATTCACGTCCAGTCAAACACCACCTCATTCTCATAGCCCAGTGGGCCTCATCTTTTTTATCATTAGGAGCCTTTTTATGATTTTGCCCTAATAAAACCCAAAAAAAATACATGTAGGGTTAAGAAAATCCCAACATGATGTTTATCTGTGAAGAGATTGCTCTCATCACTGCTTAGCTGCCTCCAGTCTTGCCCCCTCCAATTCACCCTCCATGTAGGCTTTGAATGGATCTTTCTAAAACTTTCAAAGTTCTGGCCAGACGCAGTGACTCACACCTGTAATCCCAGCACTCTGGGAGGCCGAGGTGGGTGGATCGCTCAAGGTCAGGAGTTTGAAACCAGCCTGAGCAAGAGCGAGACCCCATCTCTACTGAAAATAGAAACAAATTAATTGGTCAACTAAAAACATATAGAAAAAATTAGCTGGGCATAGTGGCGCATGCCTGTAGTTCCAGCTACTCAGGAGGCTGAGGCAGGAGGATCGCTTGAGCCCAGGAGTTTGAGGTTGCTGTGAGCTAGGCTGACACCATGGCACTCTAGCCTGGGCAACAGAATGAGACTCTGTCTCAAAAAAATAAAATAAAATAAAATAAATATAAAACTTTCAAAGTTTTGACCATGTCACTCCCCCCTGCAAAAACCCTTCTATGTCTCCCCAGTACTTTCAAGACAAAGTCAAAACTCTTAAGCACAGAACTGGAGGCCCTTGGAAATCTGGGTCGTCTGGCTTCACCTCTCACTATTCTTTGCTGTTCCAGCCACGCTGAATAATACAGGCCTTGTACATATTGCTCCCCTTACCTGGAATACCCTTTCACCCTTATTCACTCATCCTTTAAGGTTATTTTACTGTCATTTCCCTAGGATGCCTTTCCAGTCACCTACTCCAACATACACACATAATCACACACATATACCCTCCCGGGCTCCCAGAGTACCCTGTGCTTATCATGGCACTGACAAACCACATTCTAGTAATTACTCATTTTCACTGCCATCTCTTTCATTAGACTATGGATCCTTCCATGGCAAGAACCGTATCTTACTCTTATTTCTGGCACTAGGCCCAGAGCCAAGCAGTGGTTAAGTATTTATTTAGTAACTATTTATCAGTTTGGACAGATCAGATATAGGAAACCATTGCCTTACACCCATTCCCTCAACCTCCCTCCTATAGGAATTGCATTCCTCACCTTGATGGCAAACACAAGAGCCATGACTCCCAGGCAAGAGCAGCCACAGATAATGCTAGTAGCTGCCAAGTAGCGGAGGCGGAGCCAGCAGCAGCGGATGGGGGATGGGGTATGAGCAGCTTCTGAGTTCCCCACCAAGGTCTCCACTGCCTTCTCCTCGTCGGCCATCACCTGTGGGTGACACAGTCAGGGTATTCGGCCATCACCTGTGGACGACACAGTCAGGGTATTCGGCCATCACCTGTGGGCGACACAGGGTATTTGTAAGCCTAACAACTGAGCCCTTGGCCTGGCTTGCTCAGACTCCACCCCTCTGTCTTCCTGGCCTAGCCCAACTCTCAGGAATGCAGCCTTACTGGAGAATTCCTCTATTGACTCATAGAGCAGGAGAGGAAAATGTGTGGCTAGAATCCTTTTTCCTGAACTTAAGGTTCTGAGTCTTTGAAGGCAACCCAGTGTGAACATAGCATTATCTGCATTATTTACTGTTTCTACAAATGGGAAGAAGCAAAAGGACAAGTACACCGAGAAGCAGGAGAGACATACAGATACTCCAAAGCTGCTATCAATCTGAGACTGATTTTAAGTTGTATTTCAAAAGGCCCTAAAATTCCCTTAAATTTCCCAGAGGTTGCCCCATGGGTATTGAAGGGTCAGGGAACAGGCCCTAGGCCCTGCACCCTACTTCAACCAGAGTAGCCATTTCACATAAAAAACAGTTCTAGTGATGGAGGAAAGAAAGGAAAAAAGACCCTTTTTTACAGTTGAAACTGAACATCACAAAGACTTTACTTCCCCAGATTGGGTTTCCTTTGCTATGCTGTCTCCCTGCCACCTCCTCTCTCCATTTTAACCCAGGCCACACAACACAATCAGATTAACACATTGAGTCCAAATGACCTCATTACCCTACAAAAACCTGAAGAATGATACCCTAACTTAACTATTTCTCATCTCCCTATTTCTCAGGTCCTCTAAGCTCTGGCATCAAACCACCTTTACACCCTCATCTCCAACCATTCCCCTATAACCTAGACAAAATTGAACCACCTGTGGTTCCCTAAACACAAGTTAACAAAGGATAGGGGGAAAGAGGCAAGACCAGCAGAAACCAAAGAATGACGTATGGCAAAAAGCTGCAGTTGAGTAGACATGAGGAAATAACTTAGATGAGGTAAACACAGATATAAAGTTAGCACAGGGAGAACACCACAAGGAGAGGGCCCAGGGAGTTGGTCAGAAAATGTAAACATGAACAGGGGCTCTTACCTGGCTATAGGCCTTGAGGGACTGTGAGTTTCGGCTCCTGCCCCAGGTTTGATTTAGCTTGGGTGGTGAGGGAGCTGACTCAGGGCTCCAAGCCAAGCCCAGGGGTGGGGTTGGGTGGCCAGCCACCTGAAGAACCCCAGGAGCTGGGAAAGGTGTGGCTGACTCAAACCAGTCTGGCTAGATGGAGAACAGGGGAGGGCCAAGGGATGGAGCAACTGGAGGTAGGATGCCTGCCCTCTGGAAAGAGTGAAAGGAAGCACCTGAGCAAGAGGGATAAAAGGGAAAAAGTCTGAGGCATCCGAGAGCTCATGAGGGAAAGTCCAGGAACCAAAGGAATAGAAGGGAGAGAGAGGAAATGTCTGAGTGACTTAAAACTAAAAACTAGGGAAAGACATTCTAGGAGATCAGATTTGCCAATCTTCCCTCTTCTTGGGTAGAGATTTCTGCCTTAAAGGTATATAATCTCAGGTTACAGATCATGTACTAGGGTCTTTGCAAGATCGAGAGGAAAATGAAACCCAAGTTCCCACCCAACCCTCCACCAGACCAGAAAATCAGAAGCCTCCTTACACGGATGCTCGTACAGAAACTAAGTTTATTATTTTTTCTTCTTAAAAAAAAAAAAAAAAGAAAAAAAAAAAAAACCTCATTGTAGAGAAGCCCCTCCCCTTCCCCTACGGGTGGTGGGCTGTGAAAGATAGCTGGGGAATCAAGTACAAGGGGGTGGGGACAGAGACTATCTTGCCACCCTTAACACTGCCCAGCCATGTGGGGTGGAAAGGAAGGGGGATTGTGATGAGCCCCATTTCCATGACAGCCAGTTGCCTACCCCCTACTTTGGTGGAAAGAAGGGAGAAGGCCCCTATGTCTCCCTGGAGGCTTTCCCCCTCAAAAGACTTCAAGTAGTGGTTAACAGAGTCAGGCCTGGTCATGGAGGGAGAGTGGCCATGGTGGAAAGCCTAGGTCAAGGGGCAGCCCACTCACGTCTTGGCCTTGCGGCCTCTGTGACTAATGGTAGGGCCAGCCAGGTGGGGAAGGGCACTGCTGCGCAGGATGCGCTGGTCCCCTTGGTTGGTGGTCCCAACAAGCCTGCGGGGGCCAGGCCGTCTCCGTGGGGTCCCATCCCCTTCCTCTTCTGAGGCTTCAGCCTCAGACTCTTCTACTGAGCCCTCAGGCCCCAGGGGACTTGGGGGCTGTAGGCGGCCCCGCTTTGCCAGCCCAGGACCCCCACCAATTGGGGTCCCTGATCGTTTGCGAGGCACCTTCTCAGTCTCTAGTGGGGGGACTAGAGACCCTGGACGCAGCCGGGTTGAGCGCAGTTTTGGAGCCAATGAGACCACAGGAGGTGTCAATTCCATCCCGCCTGGCCCACTATCTGCTAAGTCCAGATCATCCTGAATAACAGCCACCACCATGGACCCTTCACTCTTTCGTCCTCGCATTCCCTCTGCTTCAAGCCGAAGGCGGGCCAGGCGGGTGAGGGGGCGGCTCCCATCTTCATCAGAGGAACTACCCTCACTCTCCCCCTGGCCCTGGGGTTGCCTCCGCCTCCCCAATCCACAACTCTCGAGGACAGAAGTGCTGTCACGGTCCAAGACAGGGAGCTGGCTGGGCCGAGGTGATGGTGGATTCTTGGGAGGTCGGCCCCTCTTCCGCTTGGGTGGGGACGTTGAAATGGTGACAGTGGTGACAGTGTTGGTAACAGTAGCTGTGGGACAAGCTAGCAGTGGTGGGAATGGTGGCAGGGGTGGTGGTAATGGGAGTGGCTGTGTCCGGCTCTCTAAGTTGCCATCCCCTGGAGAGGAAATGGTCCCAGGGATGGGCAAATCTCGTGCCTTAGGGGGCCGCCCTCGCCTTCTTTTCTCCACAGGTGACAGGATGATGGGCTCGGGTCTGTGAACTGGCTGGGGTCCAAGAGCACGGGGCCCAGGAATAAGTTGGGGTCCCAGGACAGGCTCTGCAATAATTAGGGTTTCAGCCCCAGGGACTTGGTCAGCCCCATTGGTTTTTCCCTTAGAGGTGGATGAGGGGGCCTCATCCACACCTCTCCCAGCATCTGCTGGAGACCTGTTCTTCTTTGGGGGTCTCCCCCGCCGACGTTTCACAGCAGGTGGGGTGATGGCAAGCAGTGGCCCTTCTCCATTCTCTGAGCTGCCCCCAACAGTCACCCCCAGCTCAATGTGACGACGAGCTATGAAGGGCTGCTGGGTTGGAGTGGGCAGTGAGGATGGAGGAGCAGCTTCACAGAGCCCACCAATGGGAGGTGAAGATTCTGGCCCTGACATGCTGCGGGTAGATGGGCTTCCCGGGCTGGCACTAGTCTCAGAGACACCAGGCACTAGGGTGCTGGTGGTTCCCCGCTGTTGTCGCCGTCGCCTCACCAGTTCCTTTTCCTCTACCACAGTTACTAGCCGTCCTGGCAGCTTGCGAAGCACTTTGGGGCCTGGAGGTTGCCCTGGCCGACCAGCCCCCTGACCCCTAATTTCTACATCAGCACTGGTGCGACGCCGAGGTGGTCGGGCAGGTGAAGGACCCTCAGGTGAGGAAGTGGCCGAAGATGAGGTTGATGGGGCTACAACCTCAGCTGTAACAAGTTCCTGTGGCTTTTCTGGGCTGGAGTTTGGGGTCTGGGCCTCCACAACCTCTTCTGAGTTCCTGTCAGCTTCCAATGCCTCCTGAAGTGGCTCATCATATGCTGTTGAGGGTGGGAGCTCCAACCCATTGCTCTCACTCAGACACGTGGGCAACTCCTCACCTTCAGGTGACACTGTGAGGATGGTCCCCTCAGCAGAATCTGGGATCTCCTGCTCTTGACCGTTAGGGATGTTGCTAGCCTCCAGGGTTGGGCTAGGTGCAGAAGGGGCAAGTGAAAGGTTCTTCTCTGATATGGGTAGGATCTCAACAGCAACTGGCAATAGATCCTTAGGCGGCATAAGAGTAAGCGAGGAGGTCTCAGGACTGGCCATGCCAGTGCCAGCCGGCTCCAGAGACTCTGTAGATGACAACGCCTGTGCACACAGTTCTGCCTCGGGCCCCAAGCCCAAGGGCAGGTTGGTGACTGGAGAAGAGATGGGGACAGGAGATGGACCAAGCAAGAGAGGAGACGAAGGAGTTAGGAGAGAGGTTTGGGCTGGTGGTGGGGTATGGGCTGGTGGTGGGGTATGAGCTGGTGGAGGGGTACAGGCAGGAGGAGGGGTACAGGCAGGAGAACAAGAGGGAGGAATCTGCGAAGGAGGAGGTGGAGAAGGCAAGATATGGACAGGAAGAATGGTTATTGGATTTGGGGCTGAAATGGGTATCGGGACACAGACTGGGACAGGGACAGGAGCTGAAGCTGGAGTGGGTCGAGGCCTAGGCATTGGCCTGGGAATGCGCTCCCTGGCAGGGCTGCAGCGAGGGGGCGTGGTGGTGTTGCGGGTATGATGGGCTGATGTGACAAGAGTGTGGTTTGCCCCTTGAGTTTCAGCCCGGGCTCCACGAAGACGCTCACTAACACGAGTTCCTGGCCTCTCAGGGGCCTTGGCCTTCTTACTTCGTCGGTGGCTGCCTCCAACAGTCCCACAGGAAATCTCATCCCCAGCCCCTGGCCCCTCCTCCTCCTCTTGTGGTAGGCGGAACACCTCCTCCTTGGCTTGGTCTAGGTCTTTGCGGGCAGCTTCCACTTGCTCCTACCAACAACAGAGCCCAAAGGTGGTTAGGAAGAGACAAGCAGGGCAGGGAGTGAGTAGAAATTTGCAGCTTTCCACTGCCATCTCCACCCTCCCAAAAATACTTACTTCTGCCTGCTTGAGCTCCTCTCGGCTCACTTCCTCCAGTGAGGCTTCCAGAAATTTCATGGCATAGCGCTCAATGGGGGTCAACTGTAGGGGAAAGCAATGGTGATGATCCTAGGTTCCTGGAGTCCAGGGCCCCATCACCCTTGCTTATCACCAGGGAAGACAGGAGGGCCATGAGCCCAGGGGAAGGAGATAAGGGGGGTGAGGTCTAGAACTAGTGGGTCCAACACTGACCTGTTCTACAAGAGCAGCAATTTCCTGCTCAGCCCGGGACATCTCCTCATCTTCAGCACCAGGCCGACCAGCCTCCTCTCCCTCTCCAGCAGGAAACCCATCATTCTCATTAAATTCTGCAAGCTCAGCCACCTGTTCAGCCTTGGCCTGGGTGGCTGCACGGATATCCTCTTCATCCTCTGCACGACACAATGCCTGCAAGGGTACATAAATGAGGAAAAAATACTGTGAGACTTAAAGAACTTAACATTCTATTTTTTAGAGACAGGGTCTCATTGTTGCCTGTACTAGAATGCAGTGGCAACATCACTGCAGCCTCCAACTCCTGGGCTCAACTGATCCTCCTGCCTTAACCTCCCAAAGTGCTAGCATTACAGACATGAGCCACCATACCTGACCTTATATTCTGTGATTTGATTCTGGCATATATGTGAGACGAAGTTAACACCAAATCAGGTTTGCAACAGAACTCAACAACCTTCTGAGCTCCTAGAGTTACCAAAGCAACTCAGTGGTTCACACAGGATATAATGAATTTCAGCCAGACTCTCACTAGGGACAAAATGACTGCTTTAGGGATCCCTAGCTCTACTTCCTTTCATTTTTTTTAAATTTTTGAGACAGAGTCTCACTTTGTTGCCCAGGCTAGAGTGAGTGCCGTGGCGTCAGCCTAGCTCACAGCAACCTCAAACTCCTGGGCTCAGGCAATCCTCCTGCCTCAGCCTCCCGAGCAGCTGGGACTACAGGCATGCACCACCATGCCTGGCTAATTTTTTCTATATATATTATTTGGCCAATTAATTTCTATTTTTGGTAGAGATGGGGGTCTCGCTCTTGCTCAGGCTGGTTTTGAACTCCTGACCTGGAGCAATCTACCCGCCATGGCCTCCCAGAGTGCTAGGATTACAGGCGTGAGCCATCACTCCCGGCCTATTTCCTTTCCTTTCCTTTCGAGTTAGCCTTAGATCTCTCTTAAGGTGGGAGGAAAAAAGCAATCACAAAGATTTGAATATCTAAAACCCTGTAATTCTTTTTTGTACTGAGATGCCTTAGGACAACATACCAACCACACCTGATCTTTCCTTGAGAAATGAATAGCCAGGAAGCTCAAAACAAAGCAACTGAGGGAAGTAGACTAGAGCACACTCAACAGTAACAAGATACTCAGTAGGGAAAAACATCTCCATGATATGCTATACCTATATATCCTAAATACCTGTCTATGTCTAGAGCTTTGAAGGAATACAAAAACTCAGAAATCATTCATTTTAAAACCATTCCAAGGGACAGGCACAGTGGCTCACGCCTGTAATCTGGGAGGCCGAGACAGGAGGATTGCTCAAGGTCAGGAATTCGAAACCAGCCTGAGGAAGAGCGAGAACCCATCTCTCCTAAAAATAGAAAGAAATT